AATACATGTTTTAGTGTTTTTCTCACAAAATATTTTCTTTTAACAACAATTTTATTTTCTATAGAAAAGTAATTAAAATGTTATACAAAATTAGGAAAATTAGGATGTACTATCTACCATATATATACAACAATGCATTCTACTAGTTAAAATGTTTAAATATACATTAAATGCAGCACTTAAATTAGAAATGAATGTACTTACATATGGTATGGTGAAGACAAGAGTTCATATGATTAAAAAATACATTAAAGATAAAACAATAAAGCTCTTCGATAAATGAATACTAAAACTTTAGGTTCACAATAAAAACTCAGAGAAATGTTATTAATGAAGGGTGATGTATCGACATCTTGGCTTTTATAATTATTAAAAGAAAAAAAAGAACCAATATAACAGCATAGCAATATGTAACCGGTCATTGCTGAATAGACATGCATAAGGACTTGTATTTCTAACGGATGATTTTTGCGGCCTCACTTAAGCGGAAGCCGGTTATTCCCTAATAAAGAGTCATGCATACAGAATTGCAGTTTCAACTTATTTATATTTGTGACTTCTGCTTAAAGGAAGATAAAGAATTTTCTTGTTCTTAACTATTATGTAGATAGCCAAGCCTGACAAAGAGTAGGACTACAAATTTAACATATTTACGTTCTCAACAAATGAGAAAATGAGGCTGTCATGCAAATATATTTGCAGCTCTAACTGATAATGTTTGAGACTTTTGTGAAGAGACAGAGGAAGAATTGTTGAGTTCTGTTAGGCTACATGCTCAACTTAGAGAAAAAGCAGGGTTACAATACTTAGAATCATTTTTACATGAACCCGATAGAATCATCAAAGACTAATATCGTGATGAGCTTTACAAAAAACTAATTGATTAAAATTATACAGGAAATTCTTGAATTAAAAAAAAAGTACCACTAATAATGGAATATCTTTTAATAAGAGTAATTGGAGTAATGCAACAAACCCGTCTGCAATCCATATGGAATCTGATTTACATGTTTCTCTTTAAACCTAACCTAACATCAAATCCTAACCTTTAAGTCTATCCTCAATTAAATCACATGACCACTCATTGAAAAGAGTAAAAGTCTTGAGAAATTAACTTTGAATAATCACTCAATATTAATTTATGCAAATTTCTTATAGGAAGTTTAAGAATTACGTAAGCATATTAATCAAATATATAATATTTCCTTAAAGAATGAAGATTTAAATAATGGAGGGAATTAATTTCTTAAGTGTCTTAATCAGCTATAGCACCTTTCCAAGCATATTTTAAGCTTTATTTAAGGTTCTTAAATACGTTGAAGGTTTATACAGAAGTACCTAAGATCTGGAAATAGTTTTGTTGATATACCGATTTAAATAAAGTTTAAGATGTTTATCTTATGAATTCGAAAATATATTAAAAATGATAAAACTTAAAAAGATGGGTGAAAAATTAAAACGATTAAATATTTATGTCATTATCTTCATCATCAATTTGCTCTAGAAAGAAATATTACTTCAGGCTACTTCTTCAAATTTCTTGTTTCTGGCTATATCTTTTCAGTTTTTTTTGTACTTATATTGATAAGGGCAATAAGACGTATTTTTGATGGTACTTTCTGTCTAATGAGCACTCACATCTACAATCTAAAACATGTTTTCAGTTTCTTAATAAGCTTAGTCTAATCTTTTTCATCTCTAGCTAAACCGTTTCCATTTTTCTCTATTTGTGGATGAATTTTTTTTACTTTCTCTTAATAAGAGTTCTTATATTTTAAATATATAACTCAGATGAGATTTTCGCTTTCTTGTAAATCTTAATTGACTCTTCTATATCTCTTAATAAATTTTTACATCTTTCATCTCTAGTTAAACTTTTTCCATTTTTCTCAATTCCTACATGAATTTTTTTAGTTTCTCTTGTCAAGAATTCTAATATCTTAAATAGATCATCCGGATGAGGTTTTCGCGTTCTGCTAAATCTTATTCGACTCTTCTATAACTTTCAATAAATTTTTGAATATTTCATCTCCAGTTAAACCTTTTTCATTTTTTTTCTATTTCTAGATGATTTTTTTTTACTTACACTCGTTAAGAATTTTAATGTCTTGAATATAAAATCTGGATGAGGTGTTCGCTTTCTCTGAAATCTTATTCTATTATTCTATTTTATATCTCTCAATAAATCTTTACATCTTACATCTCTAGCTAAACTGTTTCCATTTCGTCCAGGTGAGTTTTTTTTTTCTCTTGTCAACAATTCTAATATCTTAAATATATAATCTGGTTATGTTTTTCTTTCTCCTAAATCTTATTCGATTCTTCTATATCTCTCAATAAATCTTTGCAGCTTCTCTTACTAAGATTTGCACAAAAGATTTTGCGTAATATTTTTGTTTCATATACGTGCCCTAGCGGTATCCTTCTACATCACTCTTAACTAAATCAATATCTATTTAAATTCTCATGAATAACTTAAGTCCAGAGGACCTTAAAAAATTTGGTTTCAAATAAAAATAAATTATTAATAACAAATTTCGAATAAAGAAATCTAATGTCAATTGATTAAATTGAAAACTTCTTAAGACTTCAATGAAATAATTATTTAATCTATCAGAAAAAAATCGGATTTCCTTTTTTGTTTGAATTCAAATTTTCATTCCTCGTAAATCGTTTTAGATTTTTTCACTTTTACCTTGGCTCTATGTTTTATTTGCTTACAATTCTTTACCCTATAAATACCGAGATACTTTTTTATGTCTTTCAGTTTTCTATTTTCTGTGTTTTGTTTTTTATTTCTTGTTTTCATTGTTTTCAACTTTATGTGTTTCCAGTGATTTACTTTGCTCCTATTGACCTGACCTTCTCAATAATTTTCCAGTAATTTTTATCGTACTTTGATAAACTTTGTTTGGCAGTCTTGTTAATATTTTTTTCCCTACACTTGAGCAGCACATATACCATACAATCATTTCGTACTTTGTTCTTATTTTATGCAAACTTTTTAAGTGAGTTGGGCAATTTCTCTTTTATTTTGCTACTGGGAACAGGGCATGAGTGAGGGAAAGCGACAGAGAAAGAGAGAGAGGATGTAAGGCAGAAGTACCAGAGTTATTTTATACTATTTTTCTTTACCTTCTATAAAATTTTTATTTCGAACTGAAATACAAAACTTTAACGTTTTGTACTTCTGAACTTCTGAAGACTAAATAGCACAGGGAATGCATACGATTGGGGGTATGGCAGAGACGTCCTTTATAGTATCGAGTGAATGCAAATAGAAGTTGTGTAGATTTAACGAGAAGAAACAAAAGAATTGTGTAAAAATGTTGGAAATCGCCACTTGATGGCAGGAAAAACAACACTAAAATAGTGCAAAATGCAATACAAAAAACTTTTTCAGCTAAAAAACATGAAATGAAAAAATCAAAAATATCTGAAAAAAAGTGAAAAAAAGTGAAAAATTTTGTTCAAAGTTGACTTAGTTACGATAAAGTCAAATTCACTTTGGATTCGTTGGGAGCAGGGCGAGCCCTTCGCTTTTATTTGAATAAGTTTTGTAATTTTACAGTTCGGAACGGTTTCCGCACAGTTTCTAAAGGCAAAACAAAAAAAAAATAGGAAAATAAAAAAAAATAAATGAATAAGTTTCAATGAACACTTTTGGTGAATGAAATTTCATTTTCAGAACTCATCACACTCTGCTCTCCAAACTCATATTTTATACTTTATTCTTAAAGATTAATTAAAATAATTGACTCATCTGCAATTGGTGCTTTGTAAAGGACAATTTAATTAGCAAAGTACGGACTGATTATTTTGAGGTAAAACTTGCAATAGAAACTTGGAGGAAAGGAAAAAGTTAAAAGAGGACGAAATTATTTATTTGAAATTTAAAATTAATTGATGCTTGTGAAGCGTTGTCAAGGATGAGTCAAGAAAGTATTTAATAAAAATTTTTTTTTAATATTCTTAACATAATTGGCCAATATATCTAAGTGGTTCCAAAGGATCGCTATTCAATACTTTACAAGGTCTTAGAGTCCATTGCATCTCTTTATAATTACTAGATGCATCCACTTCGAGTTTAGTTTGTGCACTTGATTGAGTTCATTTAGTTTTCTAAGTAAGGATGTTTTTATGATACGTCTATTTCACATTTCAAAGTTTCTTATATCATTAAAGTAATTTATTTTCTTTTAAAGTTTTATAAGGTTTTAGATACCAATTTCATGTCCCTTGCAGAAAACAAACTGATCTTTTTAAATGGAATAAATTTAACTGCATATAGATTTTAAGAAATCTTTTAGTTTCTATTAGAAAGAAAATAGAAAAGAAATAGGATAGACTAAATAGGCTATCACACATATGAGATATGAATTAATGGTACACTTTGTGGAGAATAGCCGATATACAGAAGGATTTTTAAGATATAGACTTACTAAGTACTGTGGAATTTAAATAAATAATTAGAACAATCGACTTAGTGGAGAGCAGGCATTTAAGGTATAGTTTCTGTCGGAAAATTCGATTTTTGTTATAAATATAAGAAGTAATCTGTTGGAATATAAGTTCCTTTTTACTAAAAAGATCATTTGCATATACAATAAAATATTAATTAAAAATTATTCTATTGGAATAAAAGTTCCTTTTTACTAAAAAAATACGCCTATAGGCATACACCTTCTCATCCTTTCTTGCAATTTTTACTCGTAACTTATTTTAGAGAAAATAGCATATTATTTATGGATATACATACTCATATATAAAGGTTATGCATAAATCATTTATCTACGATTATTAAAGATAAAGGATTTTAAGCTCAAAAAGTTGCTTTGTTTAATTGCAGTTCAATTAACAAATCCATTGTTCACAACTAATACACAGGATCCAGTAATTGCATTTAAATTTGCAACTTACTCAACTACTGCAGAACACACAAATGGATAAATAATTATAGCCAAGCATTTATGGAGCCACAAGACCCTCGTCTCACTCACCTTTTTGTTCATAATTTCCATGCAATTTAATGTCGATTGATTCGAAGTAAGGTTTCACTGCTTCACATTGTTCACGCACATTTACATTTTTACTGCCAGAGTCGCGTTGCAGGCGGCTGCGACGATGATGATGAGAATGCCCAACACCATCAACGCCCGCATCAGCAATGCCATGTCCATGGCCAGCTAACAGCGTACCATGGTTATCCAAATTTTTCGCCGAAACTATTGGCACCGCGATAACGAGCACCAGAGCAGCAGCCAAGCAAAATGCTGGCAACGTCAAGCAGCAATAATTTGTGGTCGTTGCAGCGGATTTTTTCATTGCTTTGGAGGAGTTGCCACTGCTACGAACTGTGCAGTTGGCCATGGTGTAACGAAAAAAGTATCTATAAAACGGAAAACTCTACTAAGCGAAAATGTGAAATGTGCACTTTTCGTATTAGCCAACTTTCAACTGCAAATGCAGTTGAGTTGTAAGTTATTTGGTTGCTGCTGTATTTGTACGTATCTCAAAGATACTCGTTGCTGTTTTGTTGTTTTATTTCAGTTTTGCTTAATTATGTTTAAATAATTAACGCTGCCATTAACGAAACTGGTTGTAAGATAGCAGAAGACATTGAAAGAAATAATAAATAAAGTAATTTTATTTTATTTTTTTTGTAAAAGTTGTTGTAGAATTTTTGTAAGTTGATTTAGATACTTCTGTGTGCTAATGGCCGGAAGTTGTGCAGAACAAGATTTTTACAGATTTTGTATTTTTTATATTTGTATTTGTTGGAATTTTCACAAATTTTTTGTCATTAACACTTTCGCACTCCTGCACTTGATGATATGAGATACAAATCTGAAGTGGAAATATTTTTCCTTCAACACACAAACATATGAGCTGTTTGCAAATACACCGTTTTGTTGTTATTGTTTTAAATTTTTTTTATTTCTATTTTTGTTTGTATAGATTTTTTTTTTCGTCTAAAATCTTTCACGTGTAGCGTAAATTTATATTTTCAGTTGTCAATGCTATAAGAATACGCGCGCAACGCTGTCTTCGTGTTTGTAGATACGTAACTATAAGATACAATTTCCCGTTGCAAAGTAATTAGCAGAAAAACAGCTGTTCGGGGTCTGTTGTTTCACTGCAGGTTCAATTTCACGCTTGACAATTAATTTTTGAAAAATTTTTCTTTTTATATATATTTTTATTTACCGGCAAATTTATATACGCTCTGATTATAAGTAAATTTTCGAACAATTTTTTTTTTTGGTTTTTTAAAAATTATTTTGATGCACACATTTTCTGCGATATGCAAAATATACACGTAAATTATAAAAATAAAATTATGGTAAGCAAAAATTCAAGTTAAAAATTATGCGCACGATTGCGAAAAATAGCAAACAGCACAACGATTACAAGAGCAAAACACGTCAAAATACAAGATACAAGATACACCGGCAACAACAATAACAATAACAATAACAACAATGACAACGGCAGCGACAGCGACAGCAACAGCGGCTGCGGCAGGCGCTTCGCTTTTAGAATTGGTCAATCGACGTACGCTCAGACAGACAACGCCTTGTGGCTGAATGCAAGCGTAACTAACTGTCAGTGTCAGTGAGTCAGACAAACCACGAATTCGATGAGCTACAGATACACTGGCTGGCGCACAGATACGCACGCATACATTAAAGCGACCGAACGTACGCACATAACACACGAACACAAACACAAATGCCTAAACTTCAACAGCAGACAAAGCGGCAGTTCAGTGGAGTTTAATTTACCCCTTGCGTTCCGGCGTTTGTTTGTCGCCTGTCTCTTTGCCAAAACGACTTCGACACTTTATGCAATTGCAAAATGTTCTATCTTAAATGCGCAAAGTATCTCAGCTGCAGTTTGTATTATTTGCATTTGTATCTCGAGCAGCTCAAATCAATTCTCGTAAATGTGCAATTAATTTTTTATTTTTCCCTCGTTTTAAAATGTAAATTAGCTACTCGAAAAAATTGCTCAATCATTAATCAATTTCGAGTGCTGCGAAAATATCTTTCAAATGCTGCGAAAATATCTTTAAAATGGTGCGAAAATATCTTCAAACTTTTTCCACTTTAATTTTTTGAATTTCCTACGTATTTTTATTTAATTTTTTCTTTTGTTTTATTGACAAGACAATAAAATTCGCTTCAATAGTTCTTGACACAGACCGCTTTGATTAACACTTTTTAATTAATTTTTTTTTGTAATTTTACACTTTTTTTAAATTCGAAATTTGCATTGAATTTTGTTGGCTAATCAGAATTCGCGTTGAATTGAACGATTTTTGTTTGACGCCGTTCAGATAGAAATGCGCTCTTTCGCCGAAGACACTAGCACGCTTTAAATTCTCGTTCGCAACTAATTTTGTGGTTTCACAATCTGCAGATAGTTGCGCTGTTTGGTTCGGAATGGTTGCATCAAACGTGTGTGATGTAACCTAATGACTTGTTGGAAGTCCGATTCATACAAGTCAAGTTCGATCGAAATACCTTATTAAACAGTGGTGGCTAATACAAGTGTATACGAAAAATGTTATCAATGAATATTCTTGAATAGTATCTTATTGTATGCTATGTTGAATAGTACAGTATCTAATGTGATTCCAGGGATACCCATAAACCTAATGGTATATTGGATTTGAATTTAGAATTTAAGTAGAGTGTATTTCTTTACAATATATCTCAGTAATTAGATAAGAATAAATGCGTTTTCTAAACATTTTTGTTCTTAGGACGTGTGCGAGTTAGGCTAAGTTGATGCTAAACCAAATGGGAGATTTTTTGGGATTTTTTGCACTGCACACATTTAGCCATTTATCAACACGTATCGACACATTATTACATTATCGACACAATTTAGAATTTCCCTCATTTAGAACGCAACTTAGCCTAACTCGCACACGACCTTAATATCATAATCCTTTTGATTTTTGAGTTAATATCATATCATGGAATATGTTGTTGTTGTAACTCACTGGGACCTGTAAACAGATAACATAAAGGATATACATGACTATTACATTGGTGGGGAAGGGTCGGGGGTGGAATTTAATTGAACATTAACTCGAGTTCAGACGGAGAAACTTTGCCGTGAAACTTTGCGGTGGTCCAAAGGTCAATTAGATGGAGGTTTGTTTGCGTTGTAGGACAGGAGCACAGATGGGCGGCGTCATGGGGAGTAGAGCTGCAGTTTGGGCACACATTAGGAATAGATATATATGTCATAGAACATGATTAGACTAAATGACTACATTTTCTGAAACAAATTGTCATTTGGTGATGGAACGGCTTATGTTAAGGTTACTTGTTAGCTGGTTAATTGTCATTAGATGATTGGTTCTAAAATTAAGCAGTCATTATAAAATTTTTAGAAAAAACTTTCAGGGGTGAACCGATTTTTCATAGGCGACATCCGTATTTTTTTTATTGGTTTAGAAGTACATATATCACATAGACTTATCATATATACGGTCTGACCAAAAATATTTTACTCATATTTTCACCAAAATCTTATAAATACTCCCGATTTTTAATATCTCTGTATTTAATTTAATGTTTTGGCAGTATTACGGGTATCATACAGGCCTTACAAGTAACTGCTAAGTAACTATTAAGAATAAATAATATTTTACTCTTAATCTTAAAGTCTTGTGGATAGTTTCTTGAAATAAACCCAAGTTTCTATTTAGTCATTTGAGACTAATTCGAAGACTTTAACTTTAAAGCTTCCAGTTTGGTCTTGTGTGATTAATTTTAAGTCGAAGCTTAAACATTCCTCTAGTCATTAGACTATCGATTTTAATTTCAACCATTGTTTGAATAATCTCTATAGTATATTTTTTTGATTTTTATTCTAAAAGTTCAGTTTGGAAAAATATATTGAACCCAAATAATATTTATTTTAATGTATAAAGTAATTTTTAATATCTTATTAATATTATTACAATGATATAAAACCTATGTTATTTCCAATTCCAGTCCTAATTTATTGTGTCCGTTCATTGATTTAGAGATATATTGTTAGTCCGATTTCCTCAATAAACTGCGGTATTTTCTATATTACATATTACAAATCTCAATTTTAGGTTTATTACTTACAGGCTATTCTTCCTCTTTAAAAATCCTATAGAATTTAAGTGAGGTGATTTGAACAATAATTTGGTTTATTTGGTTTGGTTTGGTTTATTTTAATATCTTTAAAAATCAACATACTTTTTAATTTCTTATTTATTAATTATCAAGTGTGTAATAATTGAAGAAAAAAATAATTGGCAACTCATACTGAATTAATTAATTAATTTTAATTAAGAAATAACACTAAATTTAATAAATATATCTACATATATTTATATATATATATCTGTTTAATTTCATAATAAATTACATTTAATCTAAATTTAATATCAAAAAAATTTTAAATTCTCACAAAAATATTTTTATTTAAATTTAATTAAATAAATTTTTGCTTAAATATTTTGTTCAATTTATGCAAACATTAATGGCTCAGATGAAATGTTATTTCCCTTTTTCTGAAATATATATTATATTGATTTTTTGTTTTTTGTTTTTTGTGTGTGAAATTAAAACACTGCCACATCATTAAGATAAAGTTATAATTTATATTGTTTATGGTGTATGGTGAGTCAAATGAAGTTCGACTTCTTTAGGTAGCGGCTTGAAGCCTTTGAAAGAGTTCCATCCATAGACTTGCTAGAATGTAAGCACAAACAAAAAATCAAAGAAGGAAATTAAAATATTCCTGAGGTGAGTAACGCAAAGGACGACAAAATTGTGCTGCTGATGTCCAATATACAAGAGTATAGCAAATATTATGAAGGAAATTACTGATTGATATATACAGGGTAAGACATTAAAGTTGATTTTGGTGGATAAATGTATTTATGTCACACGATGACAGATTTTGACATTGCAAATTATCATTTATTTTATGCTGTGAAACACTCTATTGAAAAATCGTGAAAAATCGGGAAAATCACTCTTGAAAAATTGGCTTCAAAATATTTTGAAGAATGGTTAAAAATTTGCGCAATATTTGAATGAACAAAAATGTATTTTATTTAATAATGAAGAACTTTAAATTTTGACTACAACAGATGAAATAAGTTTTGGCCAGCACAATAAACCATTACTTTAGAGGAAAGAATTGTATAACACGAGCAACAACTATTTTTGCGTGCCACTCGAAATATTAAATTAATTTTTTGATTCAAGCATTCATTCACATTTTGATTCTGAATTTATTCTCAATAATTTGTTCGTGTTTATAATAGATTGCACATTTAGTTAACAAATTTATTCGTTGTGTATATTCTGGAATGTTGAAACTATTCAGTTATAAGTTGAAAATGATTCACTTTTTCCAATAATTCCAATAATTTGAAATAATAATTCAGACAGTGAAAATTGCTAAAGTGGACGAATACTTTTTAAGTAGTTTTTCATTGTATAGGTTTGTTAGGTATTTGATTCAGTCTGTAAAAAAGATGACATCATATCTACTTTCTATTTTTATGAAAAGTGGTAAAGGTGAACCACGATCTGTGGAATCTATTGTGAAATACTCACAAAAAGTCTCTGAAGCTAACTTGAGTGAAATAATGTTATTGTTGCATTTTGATTCCTTTGGTACAGCTCATCTGATCCCATTTGATAGTGTGAAACTAAAACCCACTAAAACTAACCCTTAGGAATGCAAAATAGATAAATTCCAGCTACTGAATAGTGAATGGCGAAAGCTGAAACCCCATTTCAGTCATCTCAGCTAAAAGGATTACTTAACATAATTATAAAGAGGTTTTTTCGAACAGTATTGAACTACAACAACAAAAATTTTATTTTATTTTATTTTAATTAATTGAATTTTTGGCTGACCATACAGCTGTTTCGAGTATTCCCAAATACCCATCATCAGTGGTCTTAACATAATTATGAAAGGAGAACAAAGTCGTCATGGGTAAGTAATACGACTTGATGTTATAATTGTATATTCGAAATAACATTTTCTTACAAGAAGCTTATTCAAAACAATTTTATTATATATTTAATAAAATATTGAACTGATTGTTGTTGTTGAATATACAATAAATTAAAGTAATTGCAGTTTTTCTTATATCACAGAATATTTTGTATTAAACAGCTGCCCCCATTTTTTTTTTGTAACTCTGCATAGGTTGGGTTAAGATAACTTATCTATATATTACACCTTATATTTAAGTTATCTGTTGATTTGGTAAGTCAAATATTTTTTCTTAGTAACAAATATTCTTTTGAGTTAATTATATCTTGAAATGAAGTTCAACACCCTGTATTCATAACTGGCATAAGTTGATAAATGTGCTTTTGACAACATACAATTTTAAAAATTCCTACTCAAAGGCTATGGCACATCCCTTCATACTCACATGGAACACAAGTAGTTCCACTTTAAAACAGCAACAGGTAAAATAAAATAAAGTTAATTTTTTCAAAAAAAAAATAAAAGCATATATATAAAAATATAAATAAATTATAAAATATTTGTAGTTAGTCAAACGAGGAGTAAACTCAATACTTCTCACTTCGATGTTAATAGTTGGTCTTTGATAGTTGCTATCAAAAAATTGTTAGTTACATTTATTGACATTCTCCATTATTTTGTAATAAATGGATATTAAAATATCTATTAAAATATATTCTTGATTCTTGAAGATATACATTTTTCTAGTTTTATTTCAATTCCATATGTGATGTTCTTTTTCTTCCGCCGAAACTTAAGTGAACTCTTGTTTCCGCTTTCATTGCTCTGACAGCTTCTTGGAACTAGATTGGAATTACTAATTTGAATTTCTTAATTTTATTTAAATTTTGTTTATTAATATTTTTCAAAGAATTCGCTTCATTTCATTGTTATTGTTCTAACAAGATACAATAAAAGCACTAAAATGGACAACAACATCAGCAACAACAACAACACAAAAGCTGCGCTTATCTTTTGCACTTCAACTTCCTTTTTGTCAACACGATTTCGGCCAATTTCGTACTTAAAGTTTCGTTTCGCTCGAATTTCATTTGAAGCCGTTTGCCATTTTTGGTCAACCCAAATTCTTTTGAGTTTCGGATATCTTGCAGATACGAGTTATTATGCATAAGCACCACATATGTATGAGATAGTGCGGTCATATATATATATATATACATATGAACGTAGATACTCAGCCGTATACTGAATAGAATGTACGAATTTTGATTTGGGAATCTCTTTGGACTTGTTTTCCACAAGAAACCCTTTTACCTTCTTTTATAGTATAAATGATTTTGTTCTTAATCTTCTACTCATTTATTTTATTTTTTTTTAT